GCCACATTGCAGTGGCGCGCGTTGTCAGTATCGGTTTGATCCAGCTCATTGATGATGCTGTACAGCTCATCGATAATACCGCACAGCAACATAGTCTTCCCTTTGCCGGGGTCGCCCTTAATCCAGAGCAGTCGGTGCTGTGGGTCGTCACGCCATTGTTGAAAGTCAGCGTTATTGAGGACCCAACGATATGAGTCCCGCAAAAGGCCGCCTTTGGTCCGTTCGATGCGGGCTTTATCATCGCGAGGATTGGTAAGGCGTAAGTGCTTCAGGCATTGCTGGTCCTTTTCTGACATTTGTTGTATTTCTTGGTGCCTTATATAGCTGACGAGCTGCTCGAGATAAGATGTTCCTTTCTGAGTGATGTATGTTTTGGCGTCTGTGTCAAAGCGCTTCTCAGCGTCTTGAATAGCCGCCAAATAAGCATTCCAGTCGTCAAGCTTGACTATATCTTGGAGAAAGGCTAGGCCGCGGTTGCTATAATAAGCACAAACACTCTTAATCTGGTAAGAGAGGAACGCCTTGTAGAGGCCAACAATTTGGATCTTCAATTCGCCTCTCATTCCATCGAGCTCGCTGATGTTGGTGGGTTTGAGAAAGCTGTTCGACGAATTCCAGTACCAGTCCATTCTCTTAATAACGTAGTCGATCCCTTTGCGGTTGGCTTCGGTCGCTTTTATAGGGTTGGCAAGCATCTGCAAAAGTTAGCATGAGAAATATTATCCTCCAGATAAACGTACCTCTAAAGCGATACAAATGCCAGTCCAAGCGAGCGCGGCTTGGGGCGCAGCCTGGATTGCCGTACTTATAATGTTCTTAACGGATAGAACAACGTCCATAACTTCACCACAGCTCTCTTTCACTTTAGCTTCTCTCTCAGTCTTGGCTAGACCAGCATTGATAAGCTGAATCATTTGGCGGTGCCTGTCCGAGTTGTTTTGGGCGATGATGTTCGGCTGAGACTCGAGCACCATTGAGTTGGAGCCATTTTGTAGCTGTCGGGACAGTATCTTCTCATATGCGTCCACCAATTTGACTTCTTGTTTAAGCTCGTTATAGGCACGCTCCCAGAGTCGTGCAGGTAAGCTGGTAGTGGTGTCATTCGCGCCAGCGGACGTCTCTCTGTCGGCGGAACCGGTGGCTGGGGCCTGTGGGGTGGACGTCTCTATATTAATGGAACCGGTAGCCGGAGCGGCCGTGAGGGGGAGGGAGGGCGTAGAGAGAGTGGCGGGGATGTGCTGTGTAGACGTCGGCAACGAGAGCAGAGATGCAGGGCAAGCCTGCTCTTGGTCCTTAGAAGCTTTCCTATCCTCTGCATTTCCGTGTTGCTTGAAATGCGTCTGGAACAACGAGCGCAGTCGTCGACGCATCGTAACTTTGAGGAAGGAACGTCTTGACTGCAGTGAGGATGCTATGGTTGATGATTAATAAATCGAGTTTATGAAAGTGCCGGGGATTCCTCTCCCCTGCCATCTAGGACAAATCAAGGAAAAGAAACTAGAACACTGTGTTTTCTCGAGGTTATGAGGGAGCATAGGGCTCTGTGTTGTCACCTTGTCAGGCGCGAGATGGCTGGCAGGTTCCTCCCAATTACACGCCAATTACCCAAACGATATTTCTTTTTTGAGGCTGGGCATTCATGGACCCGGAAGGTTCAGGGCGCCAAATCAATTGCCTGGGTTGGGTCGTAGCTTTCCGTCACGGGTCTACAGGATTGGCTCTCTACCCAGATGTTCTGACAGTATGGACACCTAGTCGACGGCTCCAGCGC